GCCATTGTATTTTTTAATTAATTTTCTTTGTTATGATTTTCTAATTAATGACTTGTTACTTCTATTTTTGGAATATATTCAACCATCATTAGTTTTGCTTTGTACTTTCAGGCATCTGATCCGTCCCCTATGAAAAGGCTATAGTTCGACCCAACCAACACTTAGAGGGGGGGTGAATAGGTGTCTATGCGGAATTTAACAATTTAATTAAGTTATGCAACAATTCACATAAATTAAACGTTGTCCAGATTTATTCACATGATTTTACTACCTATGTTGAATTGAAATTGACAGAAAGCAATACATAATACAAAAATTGTTGACGAAGAAAACCCAACTGGATAAAAACTTCGGACACAAGCTAATAGGGATTCACTATAGAAGACTCCAACTTACAGTACGCCAGACATGACTGTATCTAACAACACTCTGACCTCCATACTGTATCAACCAAAGCTCTCCTGGATTCTGCAGATCTGCGCCAAAATCCCGGCCTTGTATTTATTCTATTTCCCGTGAATCAACAAGAACTCCAGTCTTCAATCAACCTCCTTCCCGGATCTTCAATCAACTGATCTTCTGGAAGTAGTGAGGATTTTTTTTATAGGTGTTTTGTTTGAAAAGGTGTTTGATGTTTTTTTTTTCAATGAATCATATGGTGAAGAGTTTTACAATTAATTCTTTGGTAGAGAGGAAAATATTGTGCTATGTGTTTTGCCAAAGGTTCTTAATGAAAAGCGGAATTTTTGTTTATATAGTAGGTCGTTTTTGGTAGTATGGAGCATTTAAAATTCACGAGGAAGGAAAATTACCAAACGCCGGATGACACTATCGCTCGAGCAAAGTGCCGGCGAAACTCTAGCGACGCACTCTCAATCGAGCGAAGTGGTGGCGAAACTCCAGCGACGCAGGTTCTGTTATTTAGGTTCGAGCGAGGTCAGGGCGAAACTCTAGCACCAATCTTGCGTCGTTTTCATCTTCAAAGCATCCAACTTTACCCTAGACCTATACATTAATTATTGCAAAATTGCAACACAAGTCCTTGAACTTTTAGACATTGACAAATTGGTCCTTGACTTTACAAACTCAACAAATTAGTCCTTTTGGTCACAGATTGCCAATTACAACATTTTCCTAACAAACTCCCCCTTTGACATTCTGTGACAAAATTACACAAGATAGTCAAGGACAAAAAAAAAATGTAACTCCTAACGACCTATTCATTCAACCAAAGCAACTATCTCCTGTCGAACCTTTTTCCTGAAATACAGAAACTCAATACCAAGTGTAAAAGTACGTGAAATAGAAACAGTAGATAAAACAAGGAATATTGCATATGTAATTAACCAGATTAAGAAGCAATAGTAATGTAAGTCAAAAAACACCAAAAACATACATCAATATTGCTAAAATATCAAAACTTAATCTAGTCATTAAATAGATATCAAACCACAGTTATATCACAATTAATCCAATATATCACAGTTAAATTGAGATTAAACTATCTACTCCCCCTTTTTGTCACAAATGACAAAGGATCAAAAACTAAAACTAAAACTAAGAAGCAGCACCACCCGCACTCGGTGACTCATCACCAGGCTCGTCACTCGGGCTCTCATCCAATCGATCACGAATCCAATGCAACTGACGCTAACACACTGATAGAGCACGCTGAAATGAAGAAAGCTCAGTAGACTAATGTTTCGAAGCAGCACGTAACTGCGTGATCTCTGCCATCATACGAGCCTGTTGCGCGACTAAAGTAGACATATGACCCATAAGGGTCACCATGGGGTCAACAGGCAAGGAAGCCACCCCTGGAACAGAAGTAAATGTCAAAGGAAAGGCAGCTCGAAGCGGAACAGCTGAAGAAAAATCCGAACGAGGCGGAAGAAAGACACGGGAACCCCCAGTAAGAATATCAGTAATAGGATCAAAGGGCTCCGAAAAATCAAAAATATCAACGGGCTCAGCCTGAGTGGCAGCATGAGCCGAAGAGGACGGGACATGGGATCGACTCTGGTGAATGGTCCGCTGTCCTATCGGGCGACCTATATGAGTAGAAGACCCCTCAGGGAAAGACGCACTAAGAGAAAGGACAACCCGATAAATCAAATAGGCATAAGGTAACCCTAAACGACCCCCAGGAGTACGAAAAGAAGCTAGAATCTGCTGGCACACAAAAGTAGGAAGGTCGATAGAGTCCCCATGAAGTAGGGCATATAGAAAACGAGCCCGTACCATCGGTAAAGAAGAAGTATGGGCAACAGGCCACAGGTTTGTGCACACGATGTGCAACAAAACCTGTCGATCAATGGGTAATGAACCCGTGGCCATAGCCGTAGGCCCCCCAGTAGACGGGGTGTTCAAAAGAGTCGACTGAACAATGGCATCGGCCGAAAGAGAAGCAGGGAGAAGATAGGGATACGTCGGATGAGGAATCTGAGCTATACCTAACACAAGAGCTACTGCAGACGGAGTAACTTAAAAAGAATGACCTCTAAGAAAACTCCTAAACGACGACCCATCAAGCTCATGAATATTAGTATAAAACTCTTGAACGAGGAGTGGAGGCGGCGGTGTAAGACCAACAAGAAGGGGCTCCCAACCCTGGGAAACAAAAATAGTGGCGACGTCAACAGGAAGGTTAGATAGAATTACCTCACGCTCCATAAGAACGGGGCGTAAGGAGAACTGAGACGTGACGACCTCCTGAATTGTAGCAGAAATAAACCGGGATCTACTATAAGATGTCGATCCACTAGCGGGCTGTGCAGAGGTACGGGAGTGCTTACGAGCCATCTGGCACATGCGGAGATGAAAAGAATAAGCATAATGTGAAATGCACGCATCACGATGCAACATGATATGAGAAGATGCACACACGAAAACACATATGATCCAATCACAAAAACATGAATGAAAACACACACGGCATGCAACGACACTCAAACAAGTAGAAAAGAAACAAAGGAAAAGAAGGAAATTAAAAAAAAAAATCAAAAAAAACCAAATAAGCATAAAAAAGTGAACTTTCATCGAACACGTGGCGTGCGTGACTTCGGCACCAAATTCCAAGCACATACGAGACCCAATCACAAATCCAAACACATCCCTAAAAACTACATGCTATGGACTTCACAATTAAACTAACCACACATCAAACGAATCAACGAGGTACAAGAACTACATTGATGAACATGGACCAAAAACTTAGAAAAAATGTGAAGAAAACCATAGGAATGCACTATAATTTGGGAAATGGAAAGCAATACTTGATGCAAAACATGTGTACAAGCAAGATGTAATGCTAAAATAACACAAACCAACACAATGATCAAGAAAAGAAATCAAAAAAATAAAAATAAATTTGAAAGCAAAGAAAGTTGGGGATTACCTAAAGATTTTGCCAAGAAGTCAGTGTTTCAGACCCAAGATTGTGTTAAAGATGTCGAATTGAGGCCAAAAATGAATTGGGAGTGAATAATTTCGATGGAAGAAGAAAAGAATTGAAGGAAAAAAAATGATGAAATGCGCGAAAAATTGAAACAGCCGCATTTTAAATATATATATGTCGCTCGAGCGAGACCGGGGCGAAACTCGAGCGACATCCTTTCTGCTTTTGTCGCTCGAACGAAGTCCAGGAGAGACTCGAGCGAAAATGAAATGTCAAAAATAGCACCAAACATTTGAAATTTATGAAAAGTAGCACAATTTTGGAAAATAACGAAAATAGGTCCAAAAACTTTTATTTTTATTTTCAGTTGTATGTATTATTTTTTTTTTGTTTTTGTAAAGACAAACTAAAAAATCGATGATGAAGCACATACCCAAATATGTAGACGATACGAATAATATGCACAAAATCACAAACCCGACATTCAGAGCATGTAGACAAATCTTAAGTCCAAACATAGTTCAAAATTTCATGAAGTAAATTTTATATAGAACATCAGCGTGAAATGTGCCACGTAGTCCATGCAAGTTAGACTCAAAACCTTAAATTAGTGAGAAAGGACACGTGAAAACAATTGTAAAAGAGTGTATATTGACCAAGTGTCAGTTAAATCCAATTCCACGAGGACCTATATCAAACAGTATAATTGTCAGATAAGCCCCGAAGACAGAAATAAGTTCAAAGAATAATGTAGAAAATGGGGAAAGACAATATTGATTAGGTTACACTCGTCACAGATCAAGTCAAATGGACAAACAACCTCAATCACAGAAGAATACCATCCCAAGTCTCACCCATGCGGTTAAGACCTACCTACAGGACTACAGTGTGTGCTGTGCGAAAACGCATGACAAGCCGTATGCCAAGAACTCCATAGAAAGTGAGAACTACGATGGAACCTCAAACTGGTACACATGATGAAAAATAGAGTTTGATCCTGAATGCAAATATCATAACGTCATACACGATGCACACAAAATTATTTATTTATTTATTATTATTTTTATTTATTTATTTTAAATTTCAAATGCAAACTTAATTCTCAAAATAAAAACTAAAAAAAATAACTAACAAACAAAATGCACCACACACGCATTTATCACATACAAGATATGAAATGAATAAGTGCAGATTTGATAAATGCATGAATATCCATGAATTCATGATCAGATAGGCAAACAAACACCAACAACCGTCCGAAGCGACTCAAACCTCATCCCATGTAGTGGTTTCGTAAGTAGATCGGCTAATTGGTTGTCAGTAGAAACATGATCTAAGGAGACAACATGTGTTTCAACAAGTTCACGAATAAAATGATGTCGTATGTCAATATGTTTTGTTCGAGAATGTTGAATGGGATTCTTAGAAATATTTATAGCACTGGTATTATCACAGAAAACAGTTATGGTCCCTTGATTAATCTCATAATCACTCAGCATTTGCTTCATCCAGAGAAGCTGAGTGCAGCAACTTCAAGCTGCTATGTATTCGGCCTCTACTGTGGATAGGGATATGAAATTTTGTTTCTTACTTAACCAGGCTACTAGACTGCCACCCATGTAGAAACAGCTCCCAAAAGTACTTTTTCTATCATCTGCATTCCCGCCCAATCGGCGTCGGAGTAGCCAGCCAAATCAAGATTAGAATTTCTAGAATAGAAAATCCCTAGATCAACAGTACCACTCACATATCTAATGATGCGTCTAACAGAGTTTTAAGTGTGATTCTTTGGGATCTGCCTGAAATCGAGCACACACTCCAACACTAAAAGCAATATCAGGTCTAGTAGCTGTGAGATAGAGAAGACTACCTATCATGCTTCGATATAGGGAAGGATCTACACTCTTACCTGAAGGATCACGACCTAACTTCAAGCTAGTACTCATAGGTGTCCTAGTATGCTTCTTACTATCTAACCCAAACCGCTTAACTAGATTCTTTGCATACTTAGACTGTGAAATAAACAAGCCATCCTCAGTCTGTTTCACCTGAAGTCCAAGGAAATAACTCAACTCACCAACCATACTCATCTCAAATTCTTGCTTCAAACACTCGGCAAACTCATATGCTAGAGACTTAATAGGAAAACTAAAAATGATGTCATCGACATAAATTTGAGCGATAGTGATAGTTTCTTCAATGTGTCTAATAAATAAGGTCCTATCAGCACCACCTCGAGAGAAACCATGTTCCTCAAGAATGACGTAAGTCTCTCATACCAAGCTCTAGGAGCTTGTTTCAAACCATAGAGTGCTTTGTGGAGTTTGTAGACATAGTGGGGAAACTTTGGATCAACAAATCCTTTTCGTTGTTCCACATAGACTTTTTCTTGAAGAAGTCCATTCAAGAAGGCAGTCTTAATGTCCATTTGATGTAGCTTGAACCCTAAGGTACAGGCAACAGCAAGCAGAATCTGAATAGACTCAAGTCGTGCAACAGGGGCAAAAGTCTCATCAAAATCAATTCCCTCAACTTGAGTATAACCCTGAGCAACTAATCTGGCCTTATTCCTAGTTATAGTACCTTGGTCATCTGTCTTGTTCTTAAAGATCCACTTAGTACCAATAACGTTACAATTCTCAGGTCTGGGTACTAAGATCCACACATTGTTTCTTGCAAATTGATTGAGTTCCTCATGCATTGCATTCACCCAACACTCATCACTAAGGGCCTCTTCGACTTTCTTAGGCTCTACCTGTGAAACATAGCTAGTATATGCTAGATTGTACAGTACTCTCTTACGAAACCTCATACCTTCATCCAAATCCCCAATGATATTATCCTTAGGATGATTAGACTTGACCCTAGTTGATGGTTCCTTAGGGATTGTGTCTTGTTTCCTTTTCAGGAGTTTCAGGAATTTTAAGAGATGATTCAGGCACAAGCGGTTCAGTAGGATCACTAGACCTTATAAGATTACAATTTCTATCATAATTTTCAACATTCTCCCCCTCACTCACACCATCATCTATCACAACATTGGCTGACTCTATCACAGTACGAGTACGTGAGTTATATACTCGGAATGCTCGACTATTTCTAGAATACCCTAAGAAGATTCCTTCGTCACTCTTAGATTCAAACTTACTCAAGTTCTCTCTATCACGCAAAATGTAGCACTTACTCCCAAACACACGAAAGTATTTGACAGTAGGCTTTTTACCGTTTAGAATCTCATATGGAGTCTGATCGGTTTTGGGTCTAAGGTAGACTCTATTGATTATGTGGCATGCAGTATTAACAGCTTCTCCCCAAAAATGTAAGGCTAGCCCCTTGTCATAAAGCATGGCTCTAGCCATGTCCTGAAGAACACGATTCTTCCTTTCAACCACCCCATTTTGAGGAGTGATAGGGGAATAGAACTCATGTAGTATCCCTTCACCCATGCAGAAGCTCTCAAGATTGAAATTTTCAAACTCTTTTCCATGATCACTTCGCATTCTGGACACTTTGTGATTGAGTTCATTACTAAGCCGTTTACACAAAGATTTTATAAGGTCACACGCATCAGATTTTTCCCTAAGCAATTCTACCCATGTGAACCTCAAGAAATTATCTACCACAACCAGAATATACCGCTTACCTCCTAAACTCTCAGTCCTAGATGGTCCCATTAAATTCATGTGTATCAATTCCAGGGGTCTTTTGGTCAAAATTTTAGAAGTCTTTTTATGGATTCCTTTAATTTGTTTACCCAGTTGACATGGTCTACATACAACATTTTCACTAGGACCTATTTTAGGCAAACCATTTACCAACTCCTTTTTAGCCAGTTGTACTAGACTCTTATAGTTTAAATGACCCAATCTTTTATGCCAGAGTTCACTCACATCAATTTTTGCACTCCTACACACATGGTTAGAATTAGGTAGGACTCCATAACAGCTATCAGACGTTCTAACCCCTTCAAGGACCACCCCACCGAATGAATCATACACAGTACATCTCTTTTCCACAAAGCTAACCTCAAAATCAACATCACAAATCTGACTAATACTTAACAAGTTCGACTTTAAACCTTCCACATAAAGCACATTTGAGATCACAGGTAATCCATGTATTTGTACAGTACCTTTGCCAAGAATAGGTGCAGAGCCCCCATCTCCAAAGGTAACCATACCCCCATTACATTCATCAAGAGTAGTGAATAAAGCCTTGTTACCACACATATGCCTAGAACAAGCACTATCAAGGTACCACATATTGAAATCTTGGGCTTTTAATGCAACATGAGCAACATAGCAATTTACCTGACCTGAAAGTCCGAGTAGATCCTCCTTTTTAACCCAAACTTTCTTAGATGACGTGGTTCTCCTAGTCAGCCTAGTAAGCATCTCAGTCAAATGACTAACCTGATTAGTCAGAAAACTGACCTGACTTGGAATATTCTGATTTCTACGCTCATTGCCTAACTTATAACATCTAGGTCTAGTGTGTCCTAGAGCTCCACAGTGGTGACAGGTGGGAATGAACCTAGGCTCAAAGGTACGTGTCTGTGGGTGTTTGGGCATAAAATTTCTACGTGATTGATGACTTTGTTCCCTCAAAACATTCTTACCCTTATTTGGACTGTTGACAGCGTTAGACTTCCTAGAGGCAGAAATGAATACAGTTTTAGATGGATCAGCACCATGTGTATTACCCTCAACATATCCTAGACCTTACCTATCTCCCGTAGGCTTATTCATTCCCAAAATATCATCCAATTTCTTAGTTCCACTTATGAAAGTCTGAAGATGAGCATTAGATTTCTCCAATTCACTAGTTAATGTCTTAACCTTGTCTTCCAACTTCTCATTGACACATTTTAACTCACTGACACTCTTAAGTGAATTCTGGAGATTACTAGCATGTCTCTCTTTTTCTCTTTCAAGTTCATCAACCTTTTTGAGTAGGGCTTTATTGATCTTTTTGATTTTAAGACTCTCCTTGAACAAGAGTTGATAGGCCTCATGTATGTCTATGTCATCCTCATCCTCATTACTAGAATTATTGTTGTGAAGTTCTTCCTGAACCTTGTCACTCTCCTTATCAGATTCACTCTTAATAGTCGACACAAATGCCATATAGTTCCCTTCATCTTCACTACTAGATGACTCTTGCCTATCACTGGTCTCAGACTCGTTATCAGTAAGTGAAACAACTAAGGCCTTACCCTGCCCTTTTCTTTGATTCTTCTTATAACTAGGGCACTCATTCCTATAGTGACCTATACCTTGACATTCATGGCACCTAACCAAACGTGGTTTATCACTAGAACTTTTATTGTTAAACCTTTCAGTTTTTTCTTTTGAGAATCTGCTAGGGACTCCACTTTTTCTATCCTGAGGCTTTCTCCTATTCTTGAGAGCCTTTTGAAATTTCTTCACAAAGTAAACGATTTCATCGTCCCTCAGAGACTCAGTATCGGAAGATTCATCCTCTTTGATGGATTTTAAAGCAATAGACTTTCTTTTCTTAGGTTGTGTGATAGTGAGTTCATAAGTTTGCAAGGATCCTACAAGTTCTTCAATTTTAACTTCATCTAGATCCTTACTTTCCTCAATGGCAGTTACTTTAGGCCTAAATCTCTCGGGCAAGGACCTAAGTACTTTTCTAACAATTTTATACTCGGGAATTTTCTCGCCTAAATTGAAACTAGAATTAACAATATCATTCAATTTTGCATAAAATTCATCAAAGGTTTCGTCATCTTTCATCTTCACTTCTTCAAACCTAGAAGCTAGCATTTGTAATTTCGAGTTCTTTGCCGTTTTAGTTCCCTCATGTGTAGTTTCAAGAATATCCCACACCTCTTTAGCAGTTTCGCACATTGACACTCTCCTAAAATCTTCGGAAGACACGGCCATAAACAAGGCATGAAGTCCCTTGCTATTCCAATTACACTCAGCTATCTCATCCTTAGTCCACAGTGATCTATCAGTAAGGGTAACAGTTCCTGATACGATAGTGGAGGGAGGTTTCTAGCCATTTTGCACACTCAACCAAACATGCTCATCTAAGGACTTAAGAAACACACGCATTCTAACCTTCCAGTAAGCATAATTACTTCCGTCAAAGTACGCAAGTACAGAAAGTGATTGACTCATCTAGACAACGATGGGTCAGGACTCGAAATTTGGCTCTGATACCACTTGAAAAGGCTATAGTTCGACCCAACCAACACCTAGAGGGGGGTGAATAGGTGTCTATGCGAAATTTAACAATTTAATTAAGTTATGCAACAAGTCACATAAATTAAACGTTGTCCAGATTCATTCACATGATTTAACTACCTATGTTGAATTGTCGGTTGAATTGAAATTGACGGAAAGCAATAAATAACACAAAAATTGTTGACGGAGAAAACCCAACTGGGTAAAAACTTCGGACACAAGCCAGTAGTGATTCACTATAGAAGACTTACAATACGCCAGACATGACTGTATCTAACAACACTCTGACCTCCTTACTGTATCAACCAAAGCTCTCCTGAATTCTGCAGATCTGCGCCAAAATCCCAGCCTTGTATTTCTTCTATTTCCCGTGAATCAACAAGAACTCCAGTTCTTCAATCAACCTCCTTCCCGGATCTTCAATCAACTGATCTTCTGGAAGTTGTGAGGATTTTTTATAGGTGTTTTGTTTGAAAAGGTGTTTGATGTTTTTTTCTTCAATGAATCATATGGTGAAGAGTTTTGCAATTGATCCTTTGTTAGAGAGGAAAAAATTGTGCTATGTGTTTTGCCAAAGGTTGTTAATGAAAAGCGGAATTTTTGTTTATATAAAGGTCATTTTTGGTAGTATGGAGCGTTTAAAATTCGCGAGGAAGGAAAATTACCAAACGCCGGATGACACTGTCGCTCGAGCGAAGTTCCGGCGAAACTCTAGCGACGCATTCTCGCTCGAGCGAAGTGGTGGCGAAACTCCAGCGACGCAGGTTCTGTTATTTAGGCTCGAGCGGGGTCAGGGCGAAACTCTAGCACCAATCTTGCGCCATTTTCATCTTCAAAGCAACCAACTTTACGCTAGACCTATGCATTAATTATTGCAAAATTGCAACACAAGTCCCTGAACTTTTAGACATTGACAAATTGGTCCTTGACTTTACAAACTCGACAAATTAGTCATTTTGGTTACAGATTGCCAATTATAACATTTTCCTAACACATAAGAATATGACAAAATGTAATTTGTCCTAATTTGATTACTTGGAATTGGTGGAAAAATTATCTAGAATATTATTAAATATTTTAATATCAATTTAGATGAAAATGTGCATCATTTCATATAAAAAATCATGACTTTTGACATAATTATTTTCCAATGGGTATGTCTCTTTATAGAGATTAATTCAAGAGGTGTGTCCTCTTGTAGGATTGTGTCTTTTAAGAACAAAACTTTTCAACCGATGGTTGAAATGAAACTATCATGTAAAATGTCACAAATGAAATAAGTTGCATATGTTTGAAGAAGTTGCAATGCTTGGCCCTCTTTATTGTTGAATTTGACTTCAATCATGAAACCAATTAAGTTGGTGTATATTTTGAAAGCATTACTGGTCCATATGACGTCCTTGATTTAATTTGGATGATCAAATTAAAATAATTTGGATTGAAGTACATTATATGCAACTTTAATTGAAATATATTGTGAGTCGACGACCACTATTTTAAAAGTACTTAAACTTTCACGAAGAACTCAATACGGATATTATCTAAGAAATAAATGAATTGAACTATGAAAGAGTTGCTGAATCCTAAGTTCAATTGTAACCCAAAGATGTGGGGGGTTTTCATAAATGCTTGTGAACTTGAATGAAAAGTTTAAAACTTATGAATGCAACGTTACTAGATTGCATATGTATTCTTAATTGAGAATTGTGGGGGTAACTCAGTTTAACAGTTACATTTGCTTCTATTTTATAATCATAGAAATATATCTATGAGGGTGGAAAAATAGAAAACCCTTATACTAATTATAAGGATGATATACACTAAGTCTAAGGTGGATTAAATGAGCGGAAGCCAATTGTAGCGATTGTTTGGACATGCAAGAACAATTGGAATATTTGAAGAATATTCATAAAGTTCAAATGCATGGTAATGTTTCAATGATGCTATAGAATACCCATGGTTCTGAAATCCACTAGTAAAAGTGATTGACTAGTGTAGTGTTTGATAGAAATCTTCCAACCATATTTGGAAATTGATAAAGCTTTGGAGGATTTCTTGGTGGCGAAAATTTGTATCTATCAAGTGAATCGATCATTGGCTAGCTATATTTGATAAGATATTAAGTAATGGTAAGCCTAGACGTATAAGTCATAGACGTAATACCATTAAGTAGTTAATCTCAATGGTGTAAACTCATGGTACCTTTAAATTTACTGAGAGATTAAACATACTGCATATCGAAAGGAAAAAGATTGATACGTCAAAGTCCTTGTAATGGTAACCTTACCTTGTTGACTAAAGATCCCAAGATCTTGGTTCAAAGGGAGAACTAAGTTATAAGAATTCCATGAAGCACTAAGGAAAATAGTTTCCTAACTCATTTCTATGATATTAAAGTGCTTTCTGCAGAGTTGGAAGAGGTTAAGATAATCTTTTAATGATTCCTATATTTTGATTAAGTCAAGTGGAATAGAACAGAATACTCTTAATAGGAGGTCATCTATGTGAGTGTGAAATGAGGCCGCTTCAATGAGAATTTTTCAAGACTTGAATTCTTTAAACACTCGCAGAACCAAGAAGGGTTCAGGGCCAAAATGAACCAAGTCATGAGAACCATGACCTGTTTAGGAAAGACATCTGTGTGAGTATCGTTGTCTTGGCTTACACTAAAGGCTGAATGGTTCAAGACATCATGTAGAACCCCAAATAATTCTAGACACCTTAGTGGCACTAAGACATGAATATTGGATGACTAAAGTATACTTCAGATTTTTAGTCTCATTTGAGACCCATTTTAGACATATAGGAAACATTCGATTTGAAAAATAATATCTAAATAAAAGTTGTAGCTCTTTGAGTTAGCTTTCCAACGCACTTTGAATTACCTCAATCGGATATCGGGAGAAGAAGTTATGATAGAAACACTGAAGGCTGTGCAGTGTCAACCGGACTACAACTGGTCGACCGAAACTGCCTGAAATGAAAATTCTCGTTTTTCTCTAGAATTTAAATATTTATTTTCATCAATTATTTTCTCAAAGGGCCACCCACGTTTTTGGCAATAAAAACCCCACACTAAATTGAAGCATTTAACCTCAAACTTAAATGGCACCCATGTTTTCTCTCTTAAATGAAATTTGACCCTTCATTTGCTTTAAGTTATGGGATATATATCTATAAATAGAGACCTCATTTCACTCATTTTTTCTCACACCAAAAGCAAAAGCTTTTACATACTAAAGAAAGAGTTTCCAAGAGAGAAAAAGAGAGGGAGGAAAACTATTTTTCCTAGAAGCTTAAGAAGTGTTTTCAAGCATCAATTCTCAACGGTTTTCAAACATCCAAGGAGTGTATTTCTTTCAACGTCCAAGTTTCATCGAAGTTTTCAATCCAAGTTTTCAAAGTTTCAAAAGTATCAATCAAGGTAGGTAGAGGTGCAATGTGTTTAATCGTGTTAAGTTATAAGTTTCGATTTATGTTAATGTTTGTATGTCAAATGGTACTCCAGTACGGCATATCCCTCTATGTTAATGGTTGTATATCAAATGGTACTCCGGTACGGCATACCCCTCTATGTTGAAGAAATGTTCGTATGTCAAATGGTGCCCTCGGGTACGGCATACCCCTTCATGTCAAATGGTGCCTCCGGGTACGGCATGTATGAAAAGTTATAAAGTTAATATTTTGAAATGTATAGCTTGATCACGAATGCACCTATGACACCTATTGAGTTTTTCAACTCACGGGTTTAATCTCATCTCTACAAATTGAAGGAATTCTACTTCTGGCATGGATGGAGCAGAAGATGGAGAGTGATGCAACGAGCCCATGAAAATTCGGTGAATAAGTGATTTGGATTTATTTTTATGAAATGTTTTCCAATGTTAATTCTTTAAAGTTTTGAATAACGCACAATGCGAGAACAAGTTATGTTTTCTTCAAATAAATTACATTTCGTTGTTTTGAAAAATGATTAAGTGTTTTTGTATAAAGTATATGAAGTATTGTTATTTAAATTATTATCCGAAGATGTAAGCTTCCGCTAAAACGTATACACTTGTTACTAAACCACCGGTTAAGCTAAGTAAAGTAAGTAGCGTTCCGGTCCACTAGGGGCCGGGGCGTTACAGCGTGGTATCAGAGCAAGGTTTAGCCGGTTCTGTAGACCAAGTATGTTTTTTTTAAAAACAAAAGGAAAATGAAAAGTTTAAGGTACTCCATGGCATCGTGCATCCTCCATCAATCTCATCCTATGGCCCAGGTATGTTCATGTTTAAAGTTAATGATTATGTTTATGTTATGATGCTTTCATATGATTTAGAGATGTGTTATTTAAAGATATGTAATGGACTTGGGCAAAAGCTAAGGGCTTAAAGGGAATTGCATGATATGAAAGTTTAAATATTTGCATGTTTTCTTTAAGTAAAGAAAAAGTATGATGTATGTGAAAATGTAACAGATATGACTCGTAGAACGGTTAGGGCATATAAAGAAGCATTGAACCGTAGAATTGCTATTCATTCCTATGAAAACTATGTAACTGATCCGACCCGACCGCTTAGCGAACATGTGTATGACATCTATGAGAAATGCATGACGGCGGTTAATGCTGGAATGGAGATCACGCATATTAAGGCCATAAATAACCTCACACACTCCCTCCCACCTCAATGGGGAGATATGGGAGTCACGGTTAGAGATGAAATGTTAGAAGGCAACCCAAACCTGTTCGAGTTTGAGAGGTATTGCCATGCCCTAATTGATTTATGGGATGATGTAATCCATGAGGAGCCTGAGGAGGAACCTTCGGCTGAGGAAGAAGATCCCGAAGAAGAACCCGAGGATGATTTAGAGAATGATCCTAAGCCTGAGCCACAGGTTGAGATGGACATAGAGTCCGGACTTGAGGCGAAAGACTCTCCGAAGATGAAGCT